CACTCTTGAAATCTATTGGTCTTTTTACACCAAAAAAGGACTGACCGACTAAAATTCTTGCCTTTATCGGTAGAAAACTGAAGAAAAATCGGTCAGTTCAATTGTTTAAGTCAATGACGAAAAACCGATATTTTTAAAAATATCAATCTACCTAGTAGGTATATCAAGGAAAAGCTGATGATCTAAATCTCCACAAAAACTTGCAATATGATGCTCATATATCTACTTGAGTTTTTCAGAGTACGAACTTCTATGTCAGCCTGTCGCGTTCTATGTAAGCTAATACTAAGAGCGAAGAAAGAACATTTTGAATTTGTTTATTTGCTAACTTACCAAGACGGGGGTACTAGTAATATATTGTCTGCGTCATTCTGAGCCACTCAAAGGGCAGTTTTGGTTGGAAATTATACCAGTCGATAGAGCCGGAAATGCAGAGTCAAATTGACTCCACTTTAAGCCATTCTAGAAAGCACACCAATGAAAGTATTGTGCTACAAAGTTTTTCAAGTTTAGCTGACTGTCTATACTTTCACGGTGTACATGTTCAGAACAACTTATCCATTTGGGTTGAAATTTCAAGTTTCTCGTTAACCATACAAGATCTATCTACTCTAATAATATCAGCCAAATCGTCCAACTTTCCATGACTATAATTAATACATTCAACGTGACTCGAATCCCTTATTGTACTATGGAAAAAGTTGAGCTAAAAATTTAAAGCTAAGATCTTGATAGTGACTAGAAATTTGTCAGTTGGAAAATTTCGAGGTCATATGTCTGGGCCATTAAAACCCTGAAAAACGATGAAAAAGAGCCAAGTGAAGTAGTTTCAGAGTTCAACAAATTGATGAAAAGAGGGGAAAAGTCGATGAAAATAAGCTAGCTTTAAAAGTTCAACCAGTTCAGTTCAATCCTGCCTCAAGGCTGCTTCGATATACTTTTTTATGCCATACACGAATCCAATGTATTTGTGGACGTGTGTTTGAGTATGGAGACTGATGTAGTAGAAGAAGAGATTCATCTGTTCACCAACTCACACCTGTAAGGTAGTAACTGTGTCTTTAGATGAAAAGTTACTTGCATCCACCCTTGCGTCGAAAGAACTTTCATGCAAAAATCAGTACTCTTACCTGGCTTTGATGTTACATTCATCGTATCCAAAGCCGCACCTAATGTTTCATCGTTGTTTTCTGTTATTTCTACTAGATGCACAACTTTGAGACCACCTATATGTTTTAAATCATCGCTTTCCACACGCAGTTGAGTGCCTGGCCCCAATAACACCTCGTTTTCGTCAGGATATCTCGTATATCCATGTAAATTTCTACCATTTACAGCTTCAATCATGAAGAGAGTAGCATTTGATTCTTTGCCAAGAAAATCTTTGATGATATTAAGAGATGTTGAGCAAGAGCTCACACTCCGCCAAACAATTTCAGTTCCTTTAATAAAATTCTTGTTGACATTACCATCCATGCCACGCCACAGACATTTCTTCACTGTGGGCAATTTCTTCAATGCTGTTTCAAACAGTTTGAGATAGTTAAACCATGGCGTTGCTGCAGAATCGTCTTCAGATCGCAGGTCTTGATTCATTATTTTATATAAACTATTATTACCCCATTCCATAGTGTATAGATAAACTGACGCTGATTGATCATGTGTGAGATCGTGCTCGGATGGAAAATGGCAATCTCGCATAGCCTCCTCAATGCGCTGACGCAAGTTATTTATGCGAGGCATGACGGGTTCTAGAGTCTTTCCAAGGGACAGCAATGGTTGGTTTCGATAACTACTGTTCAGCGGACGTTTCTTGTTGCTGAGATCAACGTCGGCGAATCGACTCGTTCTGCGTTCTGTTTGTTGAACTGACATATTTCACTTTAGAGTTGCTGAAATGCCACAATAATTCAAAACGTTTATGACGAAACAACAAATCTTTTTATCTAGAATAATTTTCAAGTCAACATTGAGAAACCACTGATAACATGAGTACTTCAGAGATAGCCAACTTCAACTATTTTGTTGATTGATATGCATTGGTGGATTTTCTCTTCGTGCTCACTCTCACCCCATTTCCGAATGGATATGGGACATGGGTGACGATGTCGGTGCGAGTGTTGGTATGGTTCCAGAGAAGGTCCACATCCATTCTATACGGACAATCGCATCCATATCCACACCCATCGTACATAACAGTCCAAATTCTGCAATTTCTAGATTTTGTCCTACAGTAAATGGCCACACATGGGAATAGAGAATGGTGAGTAGTGGTTCCTTTGTAGAACTGGTACACTTCAAAGCTTGAAAGCACTCATTTTTATTAAACAGTGTCTGTTTGAGTAGGAAACGAATTGGAACGTATTAAGACTAATCTCTATGGTTGTGTACATGTTATTGAAACAGTCTCTTTCTATACTTCGATGCCTGTTTTGGATTTATCAAATTCTGGAATTCTACGTTTTAGGGTCCTACTCTTTCCAGAGTACAATCTGTACTTTTATTTTCAAGTTTGTGCTTGTGGGTGTAGATGTAGGTGTAGAGAAAGTCGTTAGCCACATCCATATCCAAAGTGTACAAATTAGAAGAATGGCAGATGAAGAAACATAAATCGAAAACATAACAATTTGTATCAAATAGTGACGGGAATAGTTCACTCTCAACTTTTCAAAAAGTCGATTGGTTCGGTTCGGTTTGATAAAAATGAGAGGTGATTCTATACATTCTATCTCTGTTATATCACAACAATGAATAAATTATTATTAGATAAAGTTAGTAATCTTCTTCATGCACATTCCATCTAGTCTTTGAGCTTTTGTTGTAGTATAAATTTTTGAACCATGTTTTCAGTTCATATTTCATATCGTTACATTAATTAAATGTGATTGAGAACACTAAGGTAATCTATTAATTAGAAATATCTCTAAAAAAAAGTTCAAAATCTTATTTCTAATTGATTCGATACACAATTTGAAAGAATTCGATTTATGATAGTTTCATGTCAGCTCCGATCTTGAGAGCTGTTCCAGAAGTTCATTTGATGATCATTGATCTATAGAACAGTCCTTTTTATATGAACTAGTGCACTCAAAAAAAGTTTTTTTACTGAACTTCAAAAGTTCCACATTTTTGCACTCAACCATTTTAAGTTCAGTAGATTGAAAATTGTTTCGTAATCGCAATACAAAACCTTTTTAAGTTCAGGAGATTTAATAAGGTTTCGGAATGTACATGCGAAACCTTACGAGAGTTCCGTAAATTGATTTATAGTTTTGCACATCATAGACTAAACCTCTGATAGTTCCGTACATTCAACAATAAACCTCTAGTAATTTCGTAAGCTAGTGTATGGTTTCGTAAATTATGTATTAAACCTTCTGTGGATTCGGACATTACTTTATGGTTTCGTACACCTTTCACCAAATCTTCGATAATTCTGTAAGTTAATTTACAGTTACGTACATTATATATTAAACTTTTGATAGTTTCAAAAATTACTTTATGGGTTTGTATATTCTATACTAAACATCCTATGGGACCGTAAAGTAGTTCACAGTGTGCTAGATCATGTACTAAACCTTCGATAGTATCATAAATCAGTTTATGTTTTCGTACATCTTGTATCAAACCTCCAATAGTTTCGTAGATTCATTAATGGTTTCGTACATCATGTACTGAACCTTTGATAGTTCCCTAAATTTAACACTAAACCTCTGGTAGTTTCATAAATTACATTATGATTTGACGGATCTTCTAATGAACCTGTCATAGTTTTGTACGTTGAACTACTTCTTCGTACATGATCCACCAAGCCTCCGATAGTTTTATTAATTGATTTTTGGTTTGGCACATCTTCCACTGAACCTCTAGTAGTTTCGTAAGTTAATATACTTAGGGTTAGCCAAAAGTAATGTCGGAGATACCTTATTCTCTTTTAAGACGATCAAAAAAAAATTCTTTTTTTACAGAACGATAGAGAAAACGAAGCTCTATTTTTCTATANTATACTCTAGCTATCTACGCTATTCATTTCATCGAAGCTCATAAATCCAAACTAGAACTGTGGGCATTTCATTGTGACTATTAGAAGGGCGAAAAACTCCCTATTGCACTGTGTCGAACATAATTGAGTAATTCTTCAATAAATCGAGCTCAAACTTTTAGAGAAACTTTGCTTGTAGCTGAGCATTATTGCCTACAAGTTTCACGAAAGAAGCATCTTCCAAAGAGAAATGGTGTGCCATGCGTTATCGTCTTGGCGCCAACGACTCAGAGATCTTCAAAGGCAGCAATCTTGCAGCGAATAGCATGATCTTTTTAGTGAAGAAAGATCTTACACTGCGCTTCAGTTACATAGTAAAATATAGAAACTTAATCATGTATTGGATGAAAAGCGGTGCAAAATTTAGTGGGTAGTTTTTATAGGTCAAAAACCTTGCATCAAAAAAGGCTGCGATCATAATAATTCTTATTGCATTGAAGCAATCGGAGTGAGCTCATGACTCTGATCTACATTCTTGGTGGATTATCTGTACACAAATTTTCAAACATTCAGTACCTGTGGTAGCTGAGATCTGAGTGGATGGAGACTTTTGTCGGCTACTGTATATTGTTCGATTGCTCGCCAATGTGAATCAGACAGCTAGTAAAGTCTATCGAATTTGACTGTCGGTAGCTTTTCTTTGAAAATGGTTTCTGACTTATGAGCGTTTATTCATGTAAAGTTTTACGGAGTTCTAAATTCTATGCAAGTATATTCCTTCCATAGAATATAATTAACCACATAAGTCTAGCTGTATTATATGGTCAAGTTTGTATCGCTGGTGAAATAAATTGTGCAAATGTAATATATATTCAACCAAAGCACGATTTCAAGACACCTATAGCGTTATTCATGAATAAAAACCAAGATTTTTCTAATATCTGTTAACAAAACCACGTATTATGAAAGCTTTTTTTTTAATATAGCCACACGCACAACATACCAAGGAATCTCATCTATGTCAAACGTTACTTATTTTCTTCCTTCATTCGATTTGAAAAATATTCTCAGTTCATCAGATCCACAATGGTACAAATTTCCTGTTACAACGTCACAAATTGATATAATCGTTTCTATCAACAAGCCGAATGACATCGATATGTCTGGGACTGATCAAAAAGAGCAATTCTTTCCTCGTTTTATACAACAAGTTAACAAATGGTTGGAATGGTTTGACGCATTTATCGATATTTTTCAGCATATCATTGAATGGCTGAAAATCCGAAAAGTAGAAGGTGCTGAACAATTCTTTAGTGATATACATTCAATCAAAAAAGATTCAAGGATTAGTATCATTAAAATGAAAACAATCATCCAACAGATAGTAAAAGTACTCAAACTTTTGAAGAATCTTCAACGTCTTTGTGATCTATTCAATTGTACAAATTCATTTGAAATTATTGACTTTGGTACTTTAGGCCGTCCAGACCAATGGAAATCATATATTGCAGAACTAAAACGGTTGCATACCAATAATACCTTCACAGTCAAGATTTATACTGAACATTCGCAACACTACTTTATTGGTGCTCGTCAAAATGTTCACTGGTCGCTCGCCTGTGACAAACTTGAATGTAACATTAAAATAGAATATCAAATTAATAGAGCTCATCTTAACAGCTACACATTATTTTCCGGTCGAAATTTTCCTATTCATAGACAAGTTTTACAAGGAGAATTTAAAACACAGCACAGTGGCGATGTAATAATAACTATTGACAATCAAACGGGACGTGCTCCACGGACAATTTGGTATCAATGTAAAACAGTCCCTTTTTCAACATGCCATCTATTTGATGGCATCTTCTCTATGCTCTATCAAAAAAATTTCAAACAATCAATTGAAAATATTAAAGAAAATGATATGAGTGATTTGATCAATAAAGTCTTCTCTTTTATTGATAGTCTTTTAACTGGTAATATTACTTTAAAAGATATGGACTATCTTAAAACCGTTTTTCACGATAAAAACATTGATGTTAGAAAAGAAGTCAAGAAATTGTTTGTTAATCGCTCAATCAAAGACAAGAAACAAGAAACATCGAGAACAACAACAACAGCACATATCATATCACAAAGTCAAAGTGATCAAGAAATTGAACAAGTTTGTGAATGGTTAAGAACTTATCAATACTACAGTCATCTTAATATTATAAATGATTGTGTACAAAAATTTAAAATTTTTTTAAATATTGATGAAAATGATGAATCAATCGATCATCTGCAAGAAATGATTATCAACGAAAATTGTTCTCTTAAAAATATTTCAGAAACTTACAAAGATCTTTACGAACGTTTTCGAAAGTTAACAAATCATCATTTGCAATTGATTAAAATGATTGTCGAATGTTCAAATATAGTTCAAATGATGAAACAATTTGATTTATATTCGACTCATGGATTACGTCGATTTCAAGAATTGCGAGATAATTTAACAACACAATTTCAATTAGAAGAACGCAATAATATGATTCTTAATTCATGGATTATTAGTTACGCTTTATGTGAACCATTTGTTCGCCAAGTAAAAAATTTAGAAGAATTTGTAGATAATCTTGCAAAATTATCAAATATTGATGAAAGCTCATTGGAACATATTAAAGGTAGACAAAATGCTTCAATTTTTTCAATAATCGAATGTTTTCTAAAGTAGTGAACAGTTTTTAAGCTCATGCATGAACACTAAGATAGCATAGATTTCTATATGATTGTATTTCAACAATCGTGCAGAAACTGATCTTACTTAATTAATAACTGATAACAACAAGAAACTGCACCTTCAACTAAGAACCATTCTATTATAGATTAAGATAAATATTTTGTTTTTTGATTAATATATCTTTCAAATAGAGTACATGTGACAATTATAATAAGTAAAGAGAAAAGCAGTACTAATATGAAAAAAACTCTTAGTAGATTTTTTAATTCAATAATCTTTTGAATAGATCTACATCGTATGAATAAAATTATTCCTAAGACCCGAATAAGAAGATAAAATAATATTGAGCATAGTGATATAGTAAAGTGTATTTCATCTTATGTTAAAGACAGCTGATGCTGTTTGTGTTTAAGCATAAAAACAAATGCTTGCCTACCTATTGCAGAGAAAAACTAAAATTTGTAGCCCATTGTGGCTTCATTCTAGCTGTAAAAAACTACATGGATCCGACAGAAGAACAAAATATTATTGAGAACTGAAGATAAAATAGAGCAAATTTTTTTTATGCATACAGTTCGATCTATGAATCGTACATTCATACCTGCAGAATCTTCCCGTGTGCACCCATTCGCGTAGGGGAGAAACTGCAGAGAAAACTTTGTTTACATAAACATTTTGTAATATAGAAAATTAGCTTATAAGTATTTTTGTTTCGTAGGAATCAGGATACAAAGTTCATTCACAAACAGCATGATTGATTTCTAAACGAAGAACAATCCAACATTTTTTTGTTTAATTCTTTTCACCCTTCAATTCATTTCCACTTCGATAGTGATATGTTTTGTTTTACTTTGTTGTGTCTTCCAAATGGAGGTAGTATTATAGCATTTCGTCTGCTTGCATCATGTGTATTGGGTTCATTTTTGTTTTCTTTTTTCTTATACACATAAGAAATTGTTTGCCACAACCGGCCCCAGAATCTTCAAAGGCAACATAACAAGCTGGAAACCTGCGTTATGATGCTAGTCCTCAATCTAATCTATGACTCTCATTTTTAATCTTAACTCTCCACCTCGCTCTCAGTAGTTGCACCATGATTTTAGGCAACTAGTGCTACTTTATAAGAAAAGTGAACGATATCTAACATGAAAAGTTTTAAGCCTTAGTTCAGCTTCGATAAATCGTTTCTGGAATAATCAAGTACTAAAATTGTCAGACTTATTTGATGACTGATGAAGCTATTTTAGGATGTGGGTATGGGTGTTAGTATTGTTGCAGTGCACATCCACACCGAACTTTTTTTTAACTTTGAACTCTTGTATTGATATAGATAGATACCTGTATTCTTTGTTATACGTAGAGGGGACAACAAAGAAAATTCTTGGTAATTTAATTGTCTTTTTCATTTTTCTCGTAGTTGTCAATGATAATATTCAAATTGTAAATATGTGGCTATCAGCAGAAGCAACCACAATTTTAGATAATGCTATGATCAGGATGGAACATTTATACAAGACGGGTACAGTACAAATTCGTCTACGACATTTAATGAATGAGCAATCTTACTTTGAAATTATATATTCGATTGGCAAAATACCAATACATATCAATACATCAAATGAATCCAGTAATGATGAAGAAAACAAAGAAGTACAACAACAAGAGAAACTAACATTCACATTGTCAATGGCTGATATTGACGATCATAAACGTCAATTAACATTTTGTAATGTCGATTTAAAGCAACATATGATTGACAAAAAGATATTACTAGAAGAACAATTAAAATTATTGGATACTGTTGAAAAAATTTATTTAATTCTTATCAAACTAGAAAAAGCTGGTCATCCAAATTTTCAATTGAAAGAATACAATTATGAAATCTATGATAAATCTGGTAAGATTTTAGATAGACAATTAATTTTGTAGTATTCATCTTTTGTTTTTAGGTAGAGTTAACAAAATATTATGCGATCTGAAAAATAATAAAGATGGTAGTGAACAAGAACTTAAACGAGAAATTGGAGATCGAACAAAGTATTTTGAAGCAAAACTTAATAAACTCAAAGCTGATTATGAAATATGGAGAAGAGATTTAGAAAGTTGTCGAAATAAAAGTCCACTATTAAAATTATTTTCAAATCATCAGGTTATGATCATGTTCATTTCGTTGACAACATCAACAAAAGAAAATCAAGTGCAACGCAATTTTTTGGAGAAAATATTTTTATTAAGCGATCTCAACAATAAAAAAGACGAACAATTTAACTTAACTATCCTCTGTTTAATGCATTATTACCAATCATTGAGAATCAAAGATTGTAACTTATCTAGAGACCATATAACTGTTCTATATAACAAATATAAAATACAATATAGTGATTCAAAAGATGAAGAACTACAGTTACAAAATTTACAAAACTTATGTTATTTTATGGATGACTTATTCCATAACGGAGAAGAGTTATTAGTAAAAAGTCCAACGATCAGTGAAAATCAACAATTTCTTATCACATTAAATCCTCTAGAACGAACAAAAGATAAAATTAAATTTGAGAATGATTTTGATATGGATACATTTTGTATTCTTTTCAATATTTTTAATGATCGATTACCAGCTGATTATCAAATATTATGGTGTTCTGCCTCGACGGACGATGATATTCGATTATTTTTCTCACGTGTACGAACTTTTCCGTATTTGACATTTGCCGTTATGGATATTGATAAAATGCATCATCGACTTCGAGAATTATTATTAAGTGAACAAGATTCATTAACAAAACAATCTGAACGACATGGAACAATTTATTATTTTTCAAGAGAATTAATATCGTCTAGAAAAGGTTTACGACCATTCCACATAAAACCACAAGATCGAAATCCAATTCAAACTTATTCACAATTTATGACATTTTTACAAAAAAATAATTTTCCATCACCACAAATTCAAATCATATATGGAACAGCTGGAATTGGTATGAAATTCTATCTTTATTATTCTCTTTCGTCCTTTAAAATCCTTTGCTTAATTTATAGGAAAAACTCATCGCATCAAAACAAAATATAAAGATCATAATACATCATGTGTAAGTATCAATGATAGATTAAATCTATCATCATTGATTAGTACATTTCTATCATTGGAATCGAAAGCATTAAATAATCAATTATCAATTTATTTTAATATTTCTATTCATGCACCTTTTCAACAATTAAATCATGCGCTTTTTTCTTTATTTGTATGCGGTTCATTAAATGATCTTAGTAGTGGTCTCACATTTTCACCATCGATAATAAAACCCTGGAAATTTGTTATTGAAGTTCCTTATACAGATAAATGTAACATAACGATAAAACAAAATGTTGATCAAATATTACCAATACTTTCGATTATCTCACCAAATACTTTAGAAGAAGTTAGAGATGATAATTATGAATTATTTATTGGTGACGAAGAAAAACTTGTTGCGACATTTCTTAAAGCGTATGAAAATCAAACTATTGATCGTGTTTTAACACAAGATTCTGATAATGATAATGTTGAGGAACCCGTGCATTTCGATTCCTTAACAGATCCCGATGAATGCCGTGGCCATATTTATACCTGTATGGAAAAATACGCATCAGAAATGCCAAGAAATAAAATTTTTGAACTTTCGTTTACTAAATTTCTATATCGACGTATTCGATTTTTCACTGGATTTTATTATTGCTACAATATGACTATTCAAAATCTCGGATCAATTACTATGAAACAAATGATAAAGGAAGCAAAACATCTCACTCAAATAGACTTTTCTTCCAATGATTATCCTCGTATTTATTTTGTCTACGACCCAGAATTTTCATTACATTTATTACATAATGATTGGAGCACGGTTCCATTTACTTTAAAATCTCTTTTTGACTATCGTGATCCATCAACAAGAAGGGAATATAGAAATAAAAATTATTTTATCGTATGTTTATCATGGTTAATGGATATTCGTTATGATGTATTCGAAACAATAATGACTGAAGCAAAATTTATTTTAACAGAAAATTTTACTTATAAACTTTTTCATGTTCATGAAAGAAAATTAACAAAATTAGCTTTAATTATTGAAGGTGAAACAGGTGTTGGAAAAACTTTTCTTCTCAACTTCTATTCTCTATTACTTAATTCCAATGTAACATATGGTAAACTTGACAATAGTATTGCACCAAGAATTCTTGAACGTACAAGTTTATGGTTAGTGAAACATATTATCAGTGATATTCAAGAAAATGAACCTAATTTATTAAATCTATTCCTTCAACGAATAGAACCAAAATTACACGGTTTTGAAAATACAAACGATAATGAAGAAGAGAATTTACAAGAAGCTCCTTTTGAAGAAGAAGGTGGACATACGAATTATCAACTTTTGCAAGAAATAAAAAAATCTTTACAAAACTTTGAATATAATCATAATATTTTACGATATATATGGGAAACATTAATAATTACTGCCTCGCGTGAAAATGCCGATAATGTTGTTAAAAAACTTTTTGTTGCATTACATAAGTTTGTAACATCACATTTAATAAAGTTTCCATTAATTGAAGTTAGTTATCAATTACAAAAGTTATTAGAAACACCACATCTACCAACAGTAGCGATATCCATTGAAATTTTCAAGGAATTTGTAGTTCATACTCGCACTAAACCATTATTTTATCGTCTTCTCTTACATCCTGGTATAACTGAAGAACAAATCGAAAAGTTCATGTTGCCTATTTCTCAATTAGCTGAACAGATACCTAATATTGAATTAGTTGTATTTTTCGATGAAGTTAATACATCTTCTTGTCTTGGTTTATTTAAAGAAATGTTTATGGATGGAACATTACATGGAATTAGTTTACCAAATAATATCTTCTTTACTGCAGCCATTAATCCATCAATAAATTTTAATAATAATTCTCAAAAACATTGTCATGATGATTTTCAAGTTCATCGTCGGGATTACATTGTGCACGAATTACCACAAGCTTTAGATAATCTCAAAGTTTGTTATGGAATATTAGATTCAAAAACATTAAAAGACTATATCACACAAAAAATATCAACATTTACCGTGACTTCGACAAGAGATGCTCAAAGGAAATCCCCATTAGAGCAATATGCACAAGAAATACTCACTCAATCTATCCTTAATGCACAACGATTTTGTGAAATGCATCTCGGTATTCTTTTTTTATCAAAAATCTTGAAAATAATCGTAACTAAATTTTTTTGAGATGAAAAATGTTTTACAAAAATTTGTAATCTTTATGTGAAATGAAAATGGGATGATTTCGAAAAAAATCAGTAAGGATGTACATGAGAAATAGAAACCTACTCTCGATCATAATTATGACAAAGAAAATAATTGGTTTTCCAGAAAAAAATTCTATTATTTAATAGTTGAAAATGAAAATTTGATTTTGATATTTTATTTGTTAATGATACTCTTTAACGCAATGTATGTCAGGGAAGAAAATGTTCACTTCTGACTGCTGTACTCTGAGACACTGAAATCGCATGCAAATCCGTGCATTTGTTCAATTTTTGGATAAAAGAAACTGTCGCAGCCATGGCGTTGCGGCCATGGACATCTCTGTTAGAAACACAGCAGACATGTGCTTTTGGATTCGCAGAAGTCTAGAAACACTTGTGCGCTCTTAATTCAGGAAACGAAAATCGAAAGTGACTGCGGTAATCATGAAATCTCTTGTTCACGGCAAGTACCTGAATGCATACTTAGAACTGGGCCGGCCGGTTAAGCCCAGTCGAATTTTTGAAGCCGGTCGGTTTTTTAGTAGTCAAATCATAAAGGTCAACTGACGAGTCCGATTAAAAAAACTCGATCAGTTCCAAGTATGCCTCAGCGACTGATATAGAGGGAGGCACTGAGGACGATCGCCCCCCTCCATTCTGAAATATTTTTTGATTTTTTTCAGTAGAAAGCACCCAAAAATGACCCAATACTATCTCTAACGGACTTCAAAACACATTTTCTGGCAATGAGTGCTTCGCTTCGCAAAATTCAAGATCTGCCACTAGAGCCTTACATATATCTCAAGCTACAATGAATATCTTCTCTACTATTATACACCATCTTAAAAAATGATTTATTATCGATTAAAATATTCAAAATAAAATTTCATTCCCAACTGTTCTAAAAAAACTTTTAGCTGGACAACTAATAAATTGATTGGTTACAATCTTGATCATGTGCAGATATCGAATGAGAAAATAGAATTAAAATAAAAAATATTTTACGAACAAATATTATCATTATTTTGACAGCTAATGTTTTAATTTTATTTAGGACGAAATTCTGTATCACAACGAGAAATTCAAAGATGTTTTAACCTTATTGACTTCTTTTGGAACATGAAATATGATGAAAATGACAAAGAACCAGATCCCATACGATGCATTGCTTTATCATTAGCACTGATTTACTATTTTCGACTTCCAACACATGATAACGCACAACGAAATGATCATAGTACACCATCACGTGAACAACTCGGTGAACTTCTTTCTCAATATATACCAGATTTTATTGAAACTATTCAGAATGCACTCGAAAAATTTGTTAATACTGATAATTTTACTATTCCACATGGAGTAGCTGTTAATCAAGCTGTAAGGCTCTTGTCATTTAATTTTCAAAATATTTTTATTTCTACATGCTTTTATAGATTCGTGAACATATCTTTTCCATTGTTGTCAGTATTATCACTCGAACACCATTATGTATCATTGGTGCACCAGGTACGTTTTTTTAAACTAAGAGTTTCAGTTTAAACACACATCGTTTTACTTTGAGGTCAATCAAAAACACTTTCATTTCAAATTGTTTTACAAAATCTTCAAGGTTCTCAATTATCAACAAAAGAATTTTGTAAACGTTTACCAGCCATCGATCCATTCTTTTGTCTTGGATCAAAATATAGTCGATCAGAAGATATTGCATGTGTATTTGAACGAGCTATCAAACGTGAACAACAATACCAACAGAATCGAATAGATACACGATGTGTAAGTGTTTCTATTTTGTTTTTCAAAATCCTTCATAGATATTTATGTAAAACTATCATTAAATGTTTTTCAGGTTGTTTTCTTGGACGAAGCCTCATTACCTAATGAGAAAAAGATGGTATTAAAAGTATTACATCCTTATTTGGATGAATGTAAAGTGGCTTTTGTAGCTATAGCTAATAAATCATTTGATGCCGCTAATGCTAATCGAATGACTTGTATTTATCGATCTTTACCATCAAAAGATGACCAAAAAATATTAGCATATGGTTGCCTTGGTCTACAAACCGGACATGAACAACAAAATGTCAAACAGCATTGCGATAGCATTATAAATGGTCTTTGTCAAGGTTATCGTCGAGTACTTTCGAGTGAAAATATTCCTAAAATTTTTCATGATCGAGATTTTATTTATATGCTAAGAGAATTGCGATTTGAATTATCAATGACAACAGACGATGAAGAGACTAGCATCACTACTATAAAACCGATAAGTTTATTACGTGCCCTTGAAGATAACTTTAATGGAATAAAACAAAAAGAATTTCAAGAATTAATCGAGATCTTTTTTAAAGCTGTTCAAGAAGAATCTCCTAATTTTCGTTTACCCATCGAAGGACGACAACAAAAACTTTATCGTGATATTCCAACTATTCTTCAGGATTCAATGAAACTTGATTCAAAACATCGACGTCTTTATGGTCGTTATAAATTAATTATCGATGAATCAGAAGACGAAAGTGCTATTAATCTTTTATTACAAACAGGTATTCTAGATTCTGATCCTACACGAACATCTATTTTTCGAATGTCAGATTTTTTTGATGATATTAATAATGAATTACGAAATGTTGAAATATTATCAACAATTAAATTATGTATGGAAACTGGCAAAACAATTTTAATGGTAAATACAAGTCGAATTCATGATTCACTCTATGATGTTTTTAATCAAAATTTTTCAATAATGGCAACAGGTGATACGAGAAAGATTTTTTCAAAAGTTGCTATTGGTCCAAAAACAATTGATGTTGCTGTTCATGAAGATTTTCAATGTATTATTCATGTGAAACGAAGCGAATTTGAACATATTCCAGCACCTTTCCTTAGTCGTTTTCAAAAATATTCATTAAGTGTCAATGATTTCTATCGTATTCGGTTACAGAAACTTCTTAGAGATGAGCAGACTATTCTAAGAAATATCGAAGAAAAAGCTTTATCATTTATTGAACATTTTGGACGACAATATTTTTATGGTATGAATGAAAGTACTCTTCATTCATGTCTTTTATCATTAATCAAAATCAATGAAAATGAAGAGCATTCTTTATTAAATGTACATCAATATTATACACAAATGACTATTAAACGAAAATCATTTATTGAACAAGATTCTACTAATATTCAACAATGTCTGTTTCGATTAATACTATCAAAATTGATTCAACTTGTTTCACCTGAATCAGTTATATTAAAATTACCAACATTTGAAGAAAAAGTTGAACAGTGGTTATGTAACTTATATTTTCAACAACAAGAACATTTTAATTTAGGAAATTTCATTCAACAGTTAATTTCAAAGCCATTGCTTAATATTGACAACGATAAGGTATTATCAACAGAAAATACAGAACAACAAATGCTGCCGAATGCTATTCATATAACAACAAAAGTTATCATATTCACACGAACATCATCCTATGTACTTGGCCTAAATCAACAATCAAAAAATGAATTATTTACTACTAATAATAATGATGATGAAGTTTCAAATGATAGTAAACAAATAGAAATTCTAAATTTGGTAAGTATTCAATGTGATTGTTTAAGATGAAAGGAACCAATTTATCATTTTGCGGTTTTTTATTGATTTTCATTCAATCGTATATGTATTCTTGCTTTGCGTTCGTATGCCTACTTATACTGATCAAAATTAGACAGTAACATTTATAATTTCTTCTATTCGAGTCAAATCGAAGATTGATGCAATACTGTTCTTTTTGATTCTTGTACATATTTATATTAAACAACAGTAGATTTCATCAAAGGACTGGATATTTTTCATAAGTCCCTATTGACATTTTTCCATTACTCGCCAATTTTGAAAAAGAGCCAATTCAAATAAATCACTGTTTAGATATAATGTTACGAATATTTAAAGAAGCGTTCAAAAGAAATTGGCAAGGTCATTGTAAACTTCAATTTCTAGGAAATTCAATTTTCTCCATACCATTATTCAATGAATAATACAATCTAAAGAATACTGCCGCAACGGGACAAATTAAATGTCAATGATGTGCAAAATTCATTTTTACACATTCATTTGAAGAGGTGAAACTCTTAGTTTTTCTTTGTCTCATGTTGAAAAGAGTCTGGGTGTGGTTGTAGAAGCGGCTCCTGTTTCTACACACACACACACACACACCTCTCTTTCATACCATCACCTACACTCACACCCTTCCTAACTCGACCAACCTCAACAATATACACTTTCTTTCTACATTTATTTTATATTGAAATCAAATTTCTCCACTTATTTCTCGAAGCACTGAATTAAATTTCTGTGAATTTTTTTTAGCCGATACAGTTAAATTTCCTGGAAATAGAAACTTACCATGGTATGAAACTCACTATAATCAATATATCCGTAACGACATAAATTATAGTTCTTCATATATAATTTTCTATAAAAATCTTTAATTTATTCACAATCATACCATAAATATGTTCCTTATTAGATTGTGGGTGTTGGTATTATTTCACCCACAATCACACCCTCAAAATATGAATTTGCGAAGATCAAATAAAGACAAAACCGGAAATTTGAATTTATCGAAAAAACTTAAATTCAAACATGGATTCATTTTGCGTAGATCTTGAAAAGTGAAGTTTTGCGAATGTAAAATTTAATCTATTGGAATCGTTTAAAATTGATGCGGAAATACATATCAATCGTTCTCTAATCACAGATTCAAAATGAGATTTCAGAATTTGCCGATAAATTTGTATCAGAAATCTTGACCTTTTTATCAATAAGAAAGGGAAATCGCTTCGTTCAGAAAATTTTATTTTATGTTCTATAATTGAAACGAGTTATCCTATCATTAATGTATATTTTATTTAGAGCACAATTGAAAATTCTGTTGAATTACAATATAGATTTGAGACCTATAAAAATGATAATGAAAAACATGTTGTAATGATCGTCATTGATGGTCGAAACGGACAACAACGTTTACATATTCCTTTTGTTCGACAATTGATTGATAAAACTGATTCTTCTTATAATACGAATAATCCTACCGATCCAAAATATTTTCTTATGATTATTCATTCATCAACACAAGATATATATCATCAATCATGCTTTTCATCGATATTTTTGCATGACTGGGACTTTTATTTTTTTGACACATGTACGCCTGGTAGAGCTTTTTATCTTCACAAAATGCTACGAATTTTATCATCGTCTCGTAATGATCAACAATCACAAGTCCTGGACAATGTGTTATGTGATTTGAACATTCTCTTTGAAGATTCTTTATGGGATTTTTGCTCTCGAATTCAACTTCTTCTTCCTGAATTGCCGTCAAATATGTTTGCAGATGAAATCGTTCATAAATTTTATCAACGTCAAACAAATACAATTGGTCGTGTTAAATGTCTTAAACACATTTTTCATCAATCAACACAATTACAAAAACATATTGTTAATATTTATCATGAATATTTATTAAGAAAGGAAAATTCTTCGAAAAAAATTTACAGTTTAATTTATCAAATTTCTAAAGATATTTTATGTGGTAAACGTTTTGATGGTCTTATTGATTCAATTCAATCACAAACACGAAATTCATTTACAAATTTTGTTTCAAATATTTTTAAATTTATTGTTAATGATTATGGATTAGAAACATTACCAAAATTATCAATAGATCATGATATCTATGGTTCATTATTAAATCTAATTGATTATCAATCATTTTTTGTTAATGATAATAAAGATATATTTTCTTCAACAAGAACACAAGAAATATTTCAAGTTAATACTCATTATTCTTGTATACCCCAAATACCATTGTTTCATTTATTTCATCAACGTATTAAAGCCCATGCAGACGAGATCAAATTAACACTTATTCTTAAATTAACAAATCATCAAGGTTAGAACATTGTACTACAAAGCAGCTATTTTTCTTAATTTGAAACATCAGTATCATAGCTCATATGAACTGAGAACAATCTTTTGAAACATAGATCGATATATAACCTATTCTCCTTCCTATGAATTTAATATCGTAGAAAACATTTGAAAACTGATAGTTCATCGCCGTTTACCAAAGTAATAGAAACTGAGTATAAAAACAAAGCTTGTTAAGATTTATATATAGTTAGAATGGTATGAACTCTTTTTATGAACATGTTATTAATATAATGTCTAACAATACAATATATACAGATTAACTGATAAATTCAAAAAACAAAATTAATTTGAGTACTTAGATTTAAAAGCAGACTCTTCGAGGAATGTTTACGGCGAGATACGATACAAAAACGCAACGTAATCTTGTTCACCGAAATACAACAACATATTTGTACCATATTAGTTTATCGTAAAAAAGCTGTTAGCACAATCTCTGTGAGATTAAAATGTGAAACACAATATCGCTATTTTGCTATTCATATGGGAACTTTTTTATTATATCTATTGTGGGCACATTTTTGTGGAACTCACATATATTTTCGAAGAAAATAGTGAGTGTAAGTTTTAAGTTCGAGTTTTCGCGGCTCCCCCCCCCCACCCTCCCCTTACAGACAGCCCCCCCTTACAGACCATAGCAAC